GCACTGGTCATATTTTACCAAAGTGTATGGAAATACCCATAGGATATTAATACTTCATTTATCAAACACGACAAATAATTAATAAATAATACATTATAATATCAAATCGTTAACCAATTATCGCAATAATCAATAATTAGCGATTTACAATTTAATATATATAATCAACCATCTATTATTATAATGAATAATTAATGCCATTCCATGCCATAATTAAATACCATAATTAATACCAATTACTCATCAATAGTCCATCCTAATAATTAATCAAATATTAAACTACTCCACGGCATAAACACTCCAAACCCATCTGCAAGAACCTTTTCTCCCATAACCTGAATAAAAGAACAAACCTAACTAAACCTAACCAAAACAACGTCTCAAAGTCACATTCTAAGGGTAAATATCTTCGAAAGAGTGAAAAGAAATGATAAAATTATCGATTCAGGAAGCCCCATCACAAATTAACAAACAACGCTTTATCGTGGCGAATAGAGTCGCCTGTCCTCGTGGAGCACGTAGCGGACAAAGTCGGTCGTTGAACGTGGAGAACGTTAATCGATGGAGGAACGGTGAAAAACGATTTCAATAATCGTTCGACGGTTCTTCTTTCGGTCCAATTTACCGTGACACGAAGACGTGAGCAGGACGCCTCGAGACCCGCCGCCTCGCGCAATTACGGCCACGACGACGACTGCTCGATAAAATGCGATAGACTCGCATCCATGTCGCAAGGGTCATGAGCGGGCAAATAGAACGGGGCTAACGGGATTCTCGAGAGGTCCTGGCTCGTTTCAATAGGTCCTTTTGGCCTCATTCTACTTTTCATCCGCCTCAACGTCGCGCTGCCTATCGCTCCTCGCTGCGCCAAACTACGCCCCACTTGGCTCGGTTCGCGCCACCCTTCGCGCATGCAATTCTATCCCTTGAAAAAGCTGCGCGTGGGTCACCGCACGGTGGCGCGCGATTGGAAATAGGACGATGCGACGGGGAGTCTTCGAAATTGGAACAAAGTATCTTTTGATTTATTATTTGAGAATTTGCCATTTGGTTTAATCTCTCGCCGGGGTTTAAGTTCCGATGGCGCGTGCCATACTCAACGGAAATGTCGGTCACGCGCGAGAATATTGTAGGCGAAGAGTTAACCTACTGACGAACTTGTTAACTTGTGGGAATAACGAGGTAACTCGACACGGGATTATTGACGTTTTGCAATTATATACTTATTTTCTGCGGGATTCTTTACTTCTCTGTACTGTTTGCATTAAGCATGTATTAGTTTATACCTCCATTTGCTCCGATTAAAACTATAGAGAGATCTATTTTCAACTCGATTAACTCCACTTTTTCAAAAATCTTAAATTTAAGTGTCGAACCACTTGGTATAGTCGTAACTTTTTATATTTATAATAACTTTCCCTGATAATTAAGATTAACACCATTAAACGACAATAATTTTTTGACCACTGAATAATAAATAATTTATTTCAGAGGTCACTTTGATTAACCCCGTACTCTAATGTAAATCGTTGCAATAATGCAACTCAAATGCACTAGCAAGCCACGAATGATAACGGTGAATTTTTTAGTGCCGTCTTATCAGAATTTAAGTAAAATTTAGTAAAATTTAAATTTATTACTTTTTTCATTTGCCAAATCGATTAACTCTTCCAGTAACATAAAAATGGTAACATTACTAACGATTACCTTCTGACTATTTTTTCGTATAAATTTTATGTACCGTTAGATGAAAATTACATTTGTATTTATGCATTCTACAATGTTTATTTCGATTTAAATTAAAAAAGGAATTTTAAAAAACAATATACATTATTTCATTGCGTTTCTCCGCTTTTTGTTTTATGGAGTTAATCAATTTGTGCAATCACTCATATAAGGTGACTATAAAAAGACTTAATAATTTCATTATAAATTAACTGGTTTGCTTGGATTTCGAATGAGAATATGTGTTATGGAAAATACAAAGATTCGATGATTTAGACGTCTTGTAATCTTAAATCTGGAGAAAATAAATGTTCCACAGTGTTAGTTTTATTTAGTTTTTCCTATTATCACTATTTCAACATATAATTTTAACATATAATTACATCGAATTATTTTTTGAGTAATATATTTTAGAATGACGCAACTTATAAATTATAATAATTAATATTTACTGCTTAATGAAATAGTAGTTTAATCGTTAATTTATAAAATTAATGCAATTATGAGATTTTTATTTTGTTATTTCCAACAGGTTGTATTGGATACAGATAAATATCACAACATTCAGTGAATTTTTTAAAACTACGTTATTTGTTAATTCTTTTAAAATTCTGCGCAAATCAATTATACTTCAAAGGTAAACAGAAATAATCCTGAAAAATGTTCAGATAACATATCCAACTTATAAAAATGATAACACAGATGGAATGAAGTGAAATAAAATATAACAATAAGGCTATGCGCATTGTATTTTAATTGGATTTAATAACATTTGACAAATACTGTAGAATAAAAAGTGAAAAACCAAACTAGCTTCCATGCTCGCTATATAGACACAGAATTGAAACAATGAGTTATTGTTCAATTGTTAGGGAGTATAAGAGTGGTAGGAAATT